ATTACTAAGGCATAAAAGTTGCATGTACACAATACTAGGCGAAAAGCCGTACCTACAGCAGCATTGTTACAACTCATATACAATAATGTAGGATTTAAAGAACTATTATTTTCTTGCCTAAAGAACTTTACTAATGAGAAGCGAAAATGCCAATTATTTATTAGGTATGAAAACCAAATACACGGTTTCCAGAAAGTTGGGACTTCACACGGTGTATAGATCTCTAAAAGATAAACTGTTTTTGTTAGCATATACATCAAAGACTTAAGCGAGATATAGCTTCTCAAAAGCGATCAAATCAAAAGGGGGAAGGCGCATGCACTTCAGTAGTCGACCCATGCACCGACAACGTAGGTAAAACATTTATTTAGCACTCCGTTCAAAAAAAAACTAAATGACACACTCGCACAACAATACCGAACTTATCGACATGGTTTTAATTCATAGTTAGTGCCTTCAAAATGCTACCGAGGCTTCGCGAGAGTATTTAATCGCTTTCCCAGACATTTTTATTCAGGGATGCGAAGATTTGTTTACCTTGGACACACACACACAACTACAGGAGGTCTGTGGAAATGTCGACGTGGGCACAATGGAAGACCTAGACAACACCCAACGGTGCAAACTGAGGAAGGAGTATCGCAATTTGTAGAAGAAAATCCTTCAACAAGCACTAGCTAAGTGGCTAGAGAAGTGCAAGTCACCAAGACTAAAGTGTGGCAAACGCTGCGTGATAATTGTTTGTATTATTTTCCACAAGTCGTCCAAGGTGAGGATTTTTTGCAAGAGTGCGTTTTTGTGAGTTGTTGTTGCAGTCCATATTTGTCACAGACGAATCAACTTTCACGGGAAACAGGGTTCAGAGATACTCATGTGTAGTCACCTGAAAATCCTCATGTAGTCCGTCGGCGTCGATTACAATTTCAACATATATACTCAGTGACATTAGAAGTGTTACACCCAGAAAAAATAATTTCTTCAACTTGTTTTTGGCAACATAATGACTACATTTGAAGCATGCTGTGGCAACAATGTCAACGTTATATCTTTGTCGAAATATTATCTGTTAGTTTTTGTGAAGAAAGCACTTTCTAAGAGCTGAGTAGTACAGATATTTTTAGTTATTGACCTTTCATTTAATAGTGTTGAGCATAACAAAATGCATCGATTTCGAAGACGTCTAAACTATCACCATGTTAGCGACTTTGACAGGGGTAGGATTATTGCTTATCGAGACGGTAATGCGTGTGTGGATAGAAGAAGGTAGAGGAACACGAAGGAGGCCAACTGGTCCACCGAGGTATCCCACAGAACGCCAAGATAGCCGCTTCAGACAACTAGCCCTACCAGACCGTTTTACCACTACGCGTTAGATCGCTGACCAGTGGTCTGAAGAAGGTAGACCTGTTACTATGCGTACACTCTATCGTCGCATTCGAGCATTTGGACTTTTTTCATACCGTCCACGGTTAGTGCTTCGTCTGACTGCGGACCACTGTGGTCAACGTTTGAGCTGGAGCAGAGAACGGCAACATTGGGAGGCAGAATGGCATAATGTCATCTTCAGCGACGAATCGCGATTCTGTCTAGGTACGCACGATGGTCGTAGAAAGGTAAGACGCGGCCGTGAAGAACCGCGTGCTATTGGATTTTCTGTTGAGACATGTACACAGGACTGTTGGAGTAATGATTTGGGGGCCTATGGTAGCCGATCACCCCTCTCTTTGTTCAAGAGAGTATGACTGCTGCGCGTTATGTTGATGATGTCCTATAAACCAGTTTACTGCCGCATCTAGAGGGCCATCCACACGTCATTTTTCTGCAAGACAACGCACGTCCCCATATTTCCCATATATGTGGGATATGATTGGGCGCCTATCCACTTTGCACCATCCCTCACAGACTCTGCTACAGTTAATCCACGAAGTTGGAGTTGCTTGGAAAGAGAAGCCACAACCAGACATCGATCATGTCATTTTGTCGTTGCCTAAACGTATACAGGAGTGTATTCAGCTGCGGGGTCGCCCAACACATTCATTTTTTTCTTATTACTTATCAATAAAATTTCGCGAGAACGTAGTCGTTTCTTGATGTAAGACTACCTGGTTGTCATAAAATCAAGTTGAAAAAATTATTTTTTCTGGGTGTAACACTTCTAATGTCACAGAGTATATTTTTTGAATATTTAGGCTGGCCTAGTACGTACGTTTTACCAACGGCGAAAACTTCGAACAGTACCTATAAGTGACAGAGCGTTACTTAAAATGTATCTGCAAGTGAACGGTGAATACTTTTTCATTTATTTTTTTTACTTTTTCACTACTGTTGCATCACATGTTAGATTCATTTCAAGCGTAGTTGTATCTGAAAAGGAAAGTACCAACTTTCAGAACGTAATGTATGTTGAAAAATTGCCGGTATCCCTTCTGTGTTTAGCACAGTAGAATAATGCCTGAAAATATAACTACTGGGCAATGGCGACAGTTTTTGTTGAAATTGTATTTTCAGAAAGCGAATGAATTCAAAAATCTTTTGTTGTGCGATTCATTTGTGCAAGAATAACTCCATTTGAGATCAGTTCGCGCAGTGTGCAATTTTTCCTACGAAAGTCAAGCTCTGCATATGGTATAGTTGGTCGATCTGGTACCTACTTCCGTTTTACATTGACACGATCTGTTAATTTTGGAGTATACAATTCTGTATGACATTTAATGCAGATAGAACACGGGAATACTACTGTGATTGCCCTCGAGCGCGACAGAACTGAATATAGAAGCAAAGAAGCGTCATTGGGTGAAAACCTTTTGTGGTTCGATCTGTTTAAGCCATACCGACATTTTCCTAGGAATCGTACCCTTTTTTACAAACTGGGGGTCGCAAAATGTTTACTTCAGCCGAAAATTTTGTTGCTTGAAAAGTAGTCCATTCAGAGCTTCATATCCTCTGCGATACTTACTGGCGATGATTCAAATATCGTTCTACCTTCCTTAATACTGCGTAATGTCGGTAACTGCGGTACCGATTTTGAGAAAACTTGGAATATTTTATTTGGTCACAGGTTTCAAAATCGGCGTGAGGGCGTTAAAGTTAGCAACCAAAAAGAAAACGGACTCTCCAAAGTTTGTGCGTATACCCTACAAGTTCATTATAGATGTAGGCGAATAAAATAATCTGTTTTTTATATTTTCATATTTCTATTTGAATGCAACACAGTGAACATGAAACAAGCGAGCGTGAAGCAATGTGGAAAAAAGTGAAATACGACTTTAGTTTTTCTATAGCTATATGTACACCTACACAGTGGAATACGTATAAGTTATGGAATCCTGATTATTACCATTTCAACGGTACGGCTAACACCGTCCCGATGCCCTTTTGATTAAGGTTGTCCATCCGGTTTCTAGTTACAGCTTTGTTGTCATCCTGTTTCCAACCAATAAAGTTCCTGCAATAGTTTCGAACCGAAACCACACCGAGTTTCATTTCTTATATCACCGACGTCGTAATGTGTATGAGAGAGAAGCGTGCAATACGTGTGTTAGAAAGAGATAAAAGCACCTCGTCGACTAGCAATGCGAGTGACGAGGCCACGGACGCAGCTAGTTGAGATCGGCGCACTCTTTCTCACATATATGTTGCTACTCGCGCTTTTCTCTCGTACACATTACGACGTCGGGCAAATTTGAACCTCACCGTATGTACCTGTATATGAACGTATGGTGGATTGAAAATTCATCTATGATTTTGATTATTACCTAAAGGGCTAAAAAAAATTTCAGGACTTTAAAATCTTTCGTGTATCCATTACGGAGAATAACAGCTGATAAACTAATATTTAAAAATTCCCCATGTCGACAAGCGACACACAATTCAGACGAATCCGTCAATGCCAGATAGACAGAGCTGTATCTTGTTGTTTGTTTTTCAATTTCAAATCATTTAGGAATAAAATGAGATAAACGGTTTTTGACTTTGTTAATAATTTCTACTAAAGAACTTGAAACACCATATGATTTTAAAGGACATTAAAACAGCCATATTTGAATTACGTTACACTTATGAGGAAAAATTAGCCAGAAACACGTGTCTATATTATTTTTACATCTTTGTATTAATCTGCAACGTCGGCAATAATGAATCGAGTGAAAATGTAGTAAAACTTGCTTGTAGCGGTTTTTAATTTGTAGCCAAATTAACTTTTCTAAATGAAAGAGTTGTAAGTACAAAATGAATCTGTAGCGTGCAAAAACAAAAAATTCGGTTCTGTCTACCTGGCGTTCACCGATCCGCCAAAATTACGTGTCATCTGTTGATATGGGGAATTTTGAAACATTACTAGATGATCAGCTGATATTCTATCGTTATGGATACTCCAGAAAAAGGATATGGATACTCATGAAATATAGTCTTTATCACGAGGATCCATTACGGTAGGATGATAGTTGATTATATATTAATATGTCAAAATTCCCCATGTCGGCAAAGGACCCATAATTCTGACGGATCCGCCAAAACCAGTTAGACAGAGCTATATTTTGTGTTGTTTTTTTGTACGCTACAGATTTTTGTACTTTTATTTAGAAAAGTTGATTTACTTACAAAAAACCAAACGCTACAAACAAGTTTTACTAGATTTGCACCCGATTCATTATTGCCAACGTTGCAAATTAAGACATAAATGTCACTTGCTGATCAGCTGTTTACCTTAGTAGATGTCCAAGCGTGGTGGATACTCGTGAAATGGTGTATAGGGTTTAAGTATGAAATTGCATAACCTTAAAAAGCTTCTGACTAAATATTCATGATCTGCTGGCTCCAAATAGAAGCACAAATGTTAAACTGAAAGTTTTGCCTGAAATCTTTCAATCAAACGTTCAAATCCAATGCAATTTCTCTGTATTTAAATTTTTTTATGAGAGGGTAGTGATACCCACTTGTTTGGAAAGAGGGACGAAAAAGTTTGTAGGAGGGGCTAAATAGGCTGGATATTGTATAAAAAATAGTATTACCACGATTTTATTATTTATTCATAAGCTATAATGTGCTTAATTCATCTAACATGGATCTGCACTTATTTTTTAGTATCGTGACAGCTTCAATAAATATTTCATCTGGTTGCAACGCTCCAACAGATTCTACTGTAACTGGAAAGAAAATCCAAAGATAAGTTGCTGCATGCTAATAGTTCAACTTAAAACCAAAACAAACAGTACAACCCTTATAGTTTGAAGGATATAACATGAATGAGACAATATATTATGCAGGATGATTCAGAAAACAGAGGCAATATTTCTATAGCATACTGTAGATAAAAAATTATAGCCCCTACAGAAGAAAAAAATGGCGTCAAGTAAGTTGATTTTGCACTTCCTATGCAACCCTGTCATCAGTTCATAAAGGAGTAAGGTTAGTGCAATTTTAATCCTCCGAAACAAAAATTAGTTACGAACATGTACAATGGGTAAATTAAAGGATTAAGTCAGTCAAACCGGCCCATGCCATTATTCCATAGACATTCGTTCCCTGCCCTACCGGTAGTTACTGTCCATTTGGCAACGTTGTCCTTTTCCACATCTGCACGGCATAGTTGCAGAGAGTTGTTCATTTAATGCGTGGTTCCTGGATATGCATATGTTCGGTTCGCCGGGCGGTGAGCTTAAGCAGGAGTAGGTAGATTAAAAAGATTTCTCTATCATTCTGAGTTTTAAAGGCAAATGTACGGTTAACTCTATAGTGTGTGAAATATAACTAATAGGTGCTTAGAATTTCCGAGGTTGGGTGGGAGCGCACAAATATACTAAGATCAAAAAATGTTAATATACCCTCTCCCACTCCGTACAACCCCCAACACCCAAATTTCAACCCATACAATTTTTTTCCGAAAATGATCATGAGGCTCTGGAACGTCAAAAAACAAAGTTTGAGCGATTTTTATTTTTTTAGTTTTCTTGTCCGCACTCCACCGAGCCGATTTTCAACAACCACAAAGCTTTTTCGTCCTTAGCATATTAGTAACCTTGTGTGAAAATTTCATCAAAGACAGACTGACGGAAATGAGTGACATGGTTTTTCGTTGTACATGACCTATAATATCCAAAAAACAATCTCATTTTCAAAATTTTTCCTCGCTCAGTGGCGTAGAAAGTAAAAAGAAAAATATGCCAGTGACTTTTTTGAATCATCATTATGAATAATTCGCATAAATCGCCTCTCTTGAGAAGCTTTTGTTAGACTGACAAATTGGTTAAGGCTTTCGTGGCCAGTTGATAAATTGTTGTCTTGATTCAACCGACGACGGCCTTTAGACCCGAATTAAGATAGCAGTGTAAAATCTGTATTAAAAGCTTCAGCCTGTTACACATTGAAAATACGCAGAATTTAGAGAGTTAGACATTTAAAATTGTATGTAGTGTATTATGAGAGTAATCCGATCCCACCACAGCATTATCTGAACAACACCCATGTTTTGTTCTTATTCAATCTCACCAGTAGCATAGACATTTACAACACTCTGCATCTTAATAATGCGACATTTTAGGACATATATATATATATATATAGGAACTTTTTTGATGTCCCTTCTGCACTAGAAATATTGCCAATACTTTTTATAATCCTAAATACATGATACTGTAATAGTTCTAATAATTGTTTATCAAGCAATGCAAAACCTCCCCTAAACTTACATATAAAATGATCCTGTATCCTTGACATGATGACAGCATCCTTCAAATCATCATATCTAAATACATTTCTACTGCCAGTATCATATCTTGCGCTCCTCAAAACTGCTACTTTTCGACCATTCGGCTCCTCCTTTACATCGATCACACCAGCTGAAAAACACTTCTGTAACCTATAGGCTGCTTCACCTTCAACTTCTCTCAACAACTTGATGTGGGGGTGAAGCCTGTAAAAAGCCGTACCTGGAAAAAATAGCTTCTTAATTTGTAGAAAATTTCTTAAAAAAAAACTTATCAAAACTTAGTTTTATTCGAAAATAAACATGAATGTGTGGTTAGGTGTTTTGAAATTTTTTATTCCGACTGAATATCAATACGGGTGTAAATTAATTGATGGCTAAAAATACAGGATATGATTCCTTAGCTCATTTTAGGAAGAAACGTTGAAATGAACATATGTCCTAAACCTCTGAACTTTTGAGCTACAGGGTGTTACAATTTTAAAAAAAACTTCGTTTTCTTATCATAACTTCAATGCTGTTCTAGATATTTTCATGAAAATTTGAATGCACCTACGCACCAATAGTCGTTTTTTTATGTAGAATATTTCTACCACTGGCGTCCGTTCGGTATGTATACGGGAGACTTTAAAAAAAATATATACGCCATAACATATGCATGACCTCTTGACTTTTTTGTCCGACTCACCGTTTTCGCGTAAAAAATAAAATCATTTTGATTATTTTAATCAATTGAGCTCACTTGAATAAAAATTGAACAAAAACACATCTTACCTACAAACTAAACTATTCTGCCTTAGTTTACAATTTGAACCGATGTAGTAAACTAACTAAACTAAAGACTTGAAGGAGGCCAAGATTGAGTTCCCTCACGTCCTATCTAAAGATTTGTAAGCGCTCTATCTAGAACTTCCCTAGTAAGAATGCTGAAATGCATGTTCCACATTTTTTCTCTTAATAAAAGAGGTACATCCTCGAGCAAATTTGGCAAATCGCTTTCAAGAAAATGATAATAGGATAGTCCGTCCAGTCGTCCTGGAAGGAAGAACGGTCCTATGAGGAAATTCACAACTATTCCAACCCACACATTCACAGAAAACTGCCTCCTGATGTGCCTCCGTAATTGCGTATGGGTTTTCTTCGGCCCATACATGATTATTATGGAAATTTCAAATGGTATTGCGGGCAAAACTAGCATCATCAGTAAACCATCGGCAGAAATTTAAACGCAATGGAAAATCACGTGGCAGTGTTGCTTGAATCCTTTGAATATGATAGGCGTATAGTAAATTATCAACAAGTATTTTCCAAATAAGAAAATAGGAAACATTAAGCATTACCGCAATTTTCCTAGTACTAGTTTTTGGATGTTCATCGATTGTGTTTAAAACAGCTTCCTCTAATTCTGGTGTTCTTACCGTGCGATGTGCCCCCTTTGGGACTATTGTCAAAGCTAAGACTCCCATATTCATGTAGTCTTCTGTATATTCTAGAAAACATACTGGCATCGGGAATGATACTACTTGGATACCGCTCTTGATATATCCGCCTAACCATAAGCGCATTCATGTCAGCAAGTCCGTAGGTAAAATGCATACCTGCTAACTCGGAATTTATAAATCTTGGTATAATTTACTTATTTGCTCTTTATTATTGATTAAAGAAACTTTCACAATGTGTTTTTACTTTTTTACGCGAAAACGGACGGAAAAAGTCAAGAGGTCAAATTTATTGCACAATTAATGAAGATTTTTTTCAAAAAAGCAATAACGTACCATATTTTTTTGAAAACCCTCTAGTATACATCCCATACGAACGCCACTGGTGCTTAATAGGTGCATGTCAAATTTCGTGAAAATATCTGGAAAGCTTCTGATGAGAAAACGAAATGTTTCTTGAAATTTTAACATCATGTAGCTCAAAAGTTAAGAGGTTGAGGACATATGTTCATATAAGCTTTACTTCCTAAAATTAGCTAGGGAATCATATACTGTATTTTTGCCATCAATTAAATTACATCCTGTATATTGCCTCCAAAAGGTATAATCTCACTATTTTTAAATTATTGTTGATTCGTGAATGACTATACTAATAGGAACAAGAACAACTCAGGAAAAACTTCCTAAAGTTTCAATGTGCTTAACTGTAAGTTCAAGGACGTTTCTGGCATTTATTTTTGCAAAACAAATTATAAAACCAAATAACGAATTCTCAGATAGACTATTATTGATGCCCGGAGATCTTGATTATTCTATTGTCTATTTTATAAAGAAATGCCGACTCAGATGTGTAGTAGTACTGCAGTAATATTCATTTACTCTATAACTACAGGTAACTTGAAAAGACAATAAATAAATATGGTAAGGTTGAAATTTTACTGACCCCGTAATGTGTAAGAGAGAGAAGCGTGCAATGTGTATGTTAGAAAGAGTGCGCCTATAGCAACGCGGCAAGCCCTGGCTGCGACCGTGGCCTCGTCAATCGGGTTGCTAGGCAACGAGATGCTTCTATCTCTTCCTAACACACCTATTGCACGCTTCTCTCTCGTACACTATACGACGTCAGTGGTATATGGATTTTACTGTATGAAATTTATCTATAGAAGGATAATGCTTGTGCATGAATCAATTCTATGTCGAACAGCAAGAGATAAACAAAAGAAAGAACAGAGGAAAAACATAATAAATACATTATTTGTAAGAATGATAGTATATACTCTGTATTATTTGAGATTATTCCAGGAATGTTATTACGCCCAAGAGTGTTGATTCATTTTTTTGAATCTTCATATATTTCGCAATTGTTTTAAGTCATTTGGACAAAGTTCATACAATTTTGGGCAAAATGTAGGCGAGATTGAATCATTACAGATTTGTTTGATTTAGGGCCATTTAGTGGTTCCTACAATTGTAGGACGCCTTTATGGCCTCCTTATTATTATAGCCTTCAGAAAGGCTGAGGTACTTCTAGATTTATATTATTCCGTGCCAGCGTCAGCGCTCTCCTATTGTAAGACTATGTTTTCTTTTTGAATTGTAGGAAATTTCAGGCTGACATAACATATGATATAAATCAAAAGCATGAACAATTTGATGCAAATAGATATTTCTAGCAAATCCTGAAAATAGAGCGCTGACACGGAACAGTAAAAAAATCAAGGAGGCCATAAAGGCGGTATCGTCAGTCGTATGAAGTAGAATTGTTCTTTGAAGTACGTCTAATTCGTTAAGTCGTGCATGCAGCACCCCATACCACTATACCGTATGTTATGTGTGGCTTGACTAAAGTTTGATATATTATCCATATACAATATTCAGTTAATATACCAGTTAGAAATTTTATTTTATATGCTATGAATCTAATTTTCTTTAATATATAAGAAATATGCATGTCCCATCTCAAGTGGGGATGTAGATAAATTCCTAAATATTTTGTATGATTCAATCTTTTTTATCAGTTACCTTAAAGGTTATAACTAGACAGATGATTGGATAGTGATGAAGATGGTAAAAAATGAGTTTTAGCAAGGTTAATTGTTAACTTTTGGTTAATGGATAATTTTACAAAAGTCATTTTGGACAACTTGTTCCAACCCTTACCTTACAGTATAGCAGTGTCGTCTGCAAAACTGACTATTTTACCAGTACCTTGTGGTACACACCACATTCAACAAACATTTCTGTACTATCTGAATTTAATATTTTAATTGATTGCAGCCTACTTGACAAGTAATTTTTCATTAAAGTATACATCTTTCCTCGAAAACCTATTCTTTCTAAAATTTCTAGTAGTATATTGTGGTTAACTGTGTCAAAAGCTTTTTGTAAATCATCAAATACCCAAGTCGATCTTCCATATTTTGGGTAAATTCATCTACTATATTTGATATCGCATATTAGTCTAATCATATTAGCAAATTTTCCCGAAATAATTGTAAAGCCTGGTTTTATTCGACACCAAAGACTGAGAAAACGAGTTTTTTGGGACTCAATCTAAAGTGATGGCAGGAATGAAAAAAATATTCATATAAGATTTTTAGGTATTTGAGGGCCTACAGAATGAGACCACATATAACAATATCCGACTAATAGTGAAAAAGTTAGAAGCCGAAAACCCAGGCAAAGTGTGGGTTTCGGCACTTCTAAACCGATGTCGATTAGTCAAGTAGTGTTTGAGAATTTCTAATTGTTTATCCCAAAACACTTGTCTTCCGGCCATCACTATTAGTTTACTGAGCAATATACAGTGTTCGTCCAAAGGGTATTTTATAGCAAAATACACGAGTTTACCTTGTCGACACAAATCACAAACCATTCCGAAAGATAATTGTTGCTTTTATGCGAAAAACGAGGGGTTACGTTTTTTTTCTTATAAACAAATTCAAACATTCCGTATTTGTAAGTAATTGAACAGATTCGCTACGATATTCGAAAAACATACGTTATTATACACATTTCAAAATAAAGTGGATGTGTTAATCACCTTTTGTTGGGGAGAGAACATTTTTTTTTAAGATTTCTTCATACTCTTTTGTATAAATATTTAGAGCTGAAATTTTTATACGGTCACAGATGAGCCCTAAACTTTATATAAAAAAATATTTCATACTGAAATGCGCTGAACTGTTTATGAAGTAAGCACGCAAACTGAAGACACAATTATGTTTCAAACTGTCTTAGGCTAGTTAGCATGTGCTAAATGGCTGCATTATTGATGTAGTAGGTCACGTAATCCAGTTTCTTTACGAAGAAATATAATTTCCTGGACCCGTTTTCTAAAAGTATTAATATAGTATTCGTCTGTTTTCGAAATCTCGTACGATTAAAACGACTGCGAGTTCAAAATATTGGAAAACAAACTCGATAAAACGAAAAAACAGACAAATATCAACCCATTGTATCGAACTGACCGTCTTCAAAATTATGCAAGATGCTCGGTATTAGTCCCTAATACATTATTTAAAGTTTCAGCATTGTATCTTGTATAGTTTTCTAATTGTTTATAATATATTTGATGTCTCCAACGTTCGCTTGACATTTGTCAGTGTCAAGTGTAGTGGTGTAAAGATCCAGTAAGCCAAGAGGCGTCGCGTCGTAGCGTAATTGGAAAGAACGGCGATTGCTGAACCGCAGGACGTATGTTCAAATCCACAAATCTCCTTTTTTGCTATTATTTTTTTTTTAATTTGGAGAAGTAAATGTTTTTTCACATTATGTGTACTTTTATTGCACGCCATAGAGAATGTAAGCTTACAAACAGGAAACCAACGGTATACGTATGAATGTTCATATTTTTTTTATATTACTTTGATGAAACTTCATAAACATAGCATCATAGCAGGTAATTTTTGAAAACATATATATATCTTATATGTGTACATTCTGTTTGTGACAATAAGCTTGTGTAATGCACTACAAGTCAATTACCCCAAGTGAGTGGTTGAACACATCACAATACGAAAAAATAAGCAGCATTCTGGTTGCTATGGTTAATAAACACAAAATGCCAATGAATCCTTCATATAATTTTATTCTATGCACAACAATCCATTTTTTAGACGCAAAAAGAATTATGTCACTCTCTAAGATATAACTGAAATTGCATAATTTCAAATTTTTTATATATTTAACTTCCACGTTGTATTAGGGCTTCCTCTTTCCCATCACTCCCTAAAAGCGAGATTATCTACCTCTGTTATGCTGCCATGATACAAAAATACAAACTATGCCTAAAATGTCTGCACTAAATACAAAAACTGTGGGTTAGCTCACTTAATTTTATGAGCATCCTCTGCGGCTCAAAGAGGTACCTAATTTGACGGCGTATAATATAAAACAAATTATAAACAATCATATGTATACCGCTGGTTTCCTGTTTGCAAACTTACATAATGTGAAAAGACATTTATTTCTCCAAATTTAAAAAAAATTAACAAAATAAAGGAGCTTTGTGGATTTGAACCTACGTACTGCGGTTCAACAATCGCCGTTCTTTCCCATCACGTTACGACGCCTCTTGGCTTACTGGATCTTTATACCACTACACTTGACACTGACGAATCTCAAGCGAACGTTGAAGACATATCAAATATATTATAAACAATTATAGTCTTGAAAACTATAAAAGATACAATGTCGAAACTTTAAATAATGTATTAGGGACTAATACCGAGTGTTTTGCGTAATTTGAAGGCGGTCAGTCAGTCAATTTGTTGATATTTGTCTACTGCTTTTTCGGTTTCCCGAGTTTATTTTCCAATATTTTGAACTCGCAGTCGTTTTAATCGTACGAGATTTCGAAAACAGACGTATACTATATTAATACTTTTAGAAAAAAGGTCCAGGGAATTATATTTTTTCGTAAAGAGACTGACCTACTTATTTGACAAAGTCATGCAGTCATCAATAATGCAGGCATTTAGCACATACTAACTAGTCTAAGACAGTTGGGCAGTTTGCGTTTTATAAAAATTTCAGCGCATTTCAGTATGAAATATTTTTTTATAAACTTTAGGGCTCAACTGTGACTGTGTAAAAAAAGAGTATGAAGAAATCTTGAAAAAAAAATTGTTTTCTTCGCAACAAAAGGTGATGGACACATACGCTTTGTTTTAAAATATGTATATAATAACGTATGTTTTTCGTATGTCGTAGCGAATCTGTTCAGTTACTCAAAGATACCAAATGTCTGAATTTGTTAACAAGAAAAAACATAACCGTTTTCGCATAAAGACCTCGGTTGGCCGCGTGGGTCAGAGTGTCGTGCTACTGATCAGCCGGCCGGCCGGGCCGCGAGTTCGAATCTCGCCTTCGCCATGGATGTTGTGTGTTTGTTTTAGGCAGCAGCGGTGGCCGCAGTAGTAGACCCTTCGGTCTCCTGATCAGCCGCCGTGCGCTGTGCGGGTTCGAGTCCCGTCCCAGGAGAAATGTTTCTCTTGGCCATGGATGTTGTGATTGTCCGTAGGTGGTAGATGGTCTCTGACTGTCGAACGCGGAGGTACCACCCGGCGGTTCTCGTAGGCGGAGCCAGAATGTGTGCATGTTGCATGCACACGTGTTCCCTCGCCAGAGTCCGTGTGGCGTCCCCCCTTTCCCATGTATCCCCCATAGCCCCACGGTACCCAATGGGTGCTTAGGCCTTAGGCCTTCGTGGTAGTTGGAGTATAAAAAAAAAAAAAAAAAAAAAAAAAAAAAAAAAAAAAAAAAAAAAAAAGACAACAATTATCTTTAGGAATGGTTTGTGATTTATGTCAGCAAAGTAAGCTCGTGTATTTTGCTATAAAATGCCTTTTGAACGAACCCTGTATATTGCTCAGTACACTAGTAGTGATGGCCGGAAGACAGGTGTTTTGGGATGAACAATTAGAAATTCTCTAAGACCGACCAACAGACTCCAATTTGTTTGTGATTTCTTAGAAGTATAAAACCTACGGTTTGAAGAATTTCAAGTAGCTGCGTGAAATTGTTGTATTAGCAACAACTGCCAAAACCTGCATTTTGACTCGGTTTTCGGTCATAACTTTCTGACTATTAGTCGGATCTTATTAGGTGTGGTCTCATTCTGTAGGTCTCCTAAGTACTTAAAAATCTTATATGACGAGTTTTTTCATTCCTGTCAACACTTTCGATTGAATCCCAAAAAACGCGTTTTCTCATTCTTTGTTGTCGAATAAAACGTTTTCCCACAAAAATTGGTTTACCCATTTTATGCGCCCATCTTTTAAATACCCTTTTGAACAACTTGCATCAATAAAATCAGACTTTACAATTATTTTACGGGTATTTTCGTCTAATATGATGTTGAAGATTTACCTGCTATAAAACCATAGTGATCTGAATTAAAAATTTTGCATTTATTAAGAAATTCAATCATTTTACTAAGCAGTGATTTATCAAAAACTTTAGCTAAACTGGATATTAGTGAAATAGGCTGATAATTAGTGACATCTGTATTATCATTCACTTTACAGATGGATATGATGACTGCTGATGGAAATACTCCAGATTAAAAGGATTTGCTAATGATATAAGCAAATGGTTCTGCTATTTGTTTGAATAGTATCTTCAGATGTTCAGCCCTAATTTCATCAACTTCAGGGCTGTTTTAATTTTTTAGAGTCATAACGGCATTGAAAACACGCTGATAGTCTACTTAGTTAATACAAATTGATTATTCAGTCTTCTTTCAGGTAGTTGAACGTCACCATTTTGTTTGATATTATGTATTTGCCAAGTTTTCTCCTATATTTGTGAAAAATTATATGAACTCCTAATATACTTGCTGAATATTACGCGTTTTCTATCCTGTTTTCGTTTTTATTTTATTAATATTGTTATTTGAACGATATGACTTATTGAATAGATCATTGATAGTAGACCATAGTTAAGTAGAGTCGTGTGAATTTTTATTAAATTTTCCTAAATAGTAATTTTGTTTTGTTTTTCTCAAAAGTTCTATAAATTTGTTTTTATACTGATTATGAACAACTATATTTTCTTTTGTGGGTGTGGGTAAATGTTTCATGATTTTATATAGTCTTTCTTTTTCGGCTGCAGATTTTATTAGGCCTTTGGTCATCCAATTATTTCTGCTTTTTTCTTTGTAATTTAGTTTAACCTTATTAGGACTTATTTTAATTATTTTTTAATTTTGCGAATCAACAAATTTGTAGATGCATCTACAGAATTTGTTAAATAAGTTTCCTCCCACCATTCCGTTTGCGCATTAAATATTATTTTTGAGTTTTCGATGAAATATTTGTATTTAACGGTACTTTCATTTTTTGCCATGGGGCAGATGCCTGCAAAACTAAATAAGATAAACTAAAAAAGCACTATCTCAATTCTCATATTTATCGCTGTAATATGGTAAGTCATTCTGAAACATAAAAACATCTGAATACGTCAAGTCCATAACATAGTTTGTAAAGTCGTAACTTCTTTATAATAACAGCTATTGAAAATGCAATTTTGTCTATGTAAAGTGGTAGAGAATAGATTGTTCAAACTAGACCATGAAAAATAAGATATAATAATATGGATGCATTTCTTTGTCCTCAATTTTGTGAGGGGTTGCATTCCAATTCATGAAAGTCGTTGTGCCCTGGTGGTACGATCATACAGTACAACGTAATTATTTCTTATATCCTACTACATTTTTTAAGAAGGCACGTACTTATTTACGCTTTTGTGGAGCAAGTTGTGATATGAGATTTATTATGCAGTCATCAGTCAGTAAAATTATTTGCTTGTGTGTCATGACAATATGTCTGATATGAGGTTTAACATAGTTATACTTACAGACAGGTGAAAATTTTGCATGATCTTTTCCTACTCCCTTGATGGCTATCAACTTCAAGTCAAGTTCATGGCCAGGCCTCATTTTTGCAATAAGTATATCATCATGTATGGGTCCAACATCCTTGTCTTTGAATGCCTCCTTTTGATTTCCTATTGGTATCCATTTAATATGTTTTGAAAAAACTGCAATAATTAAAGCTTTACTTATTCGTTTTATTAAGGAGGATGGATTATATTTTTGTAATGTCCAAAGATGGCGGCGGTGAATCTAGCAACACTGGCCGCCCAGCAAGCATTAACTTTCGCGAATAAAATCGGTGTTGATTTAAAAAAAAATAGTTGAAATCCATTATGAATTTTGCAGTTTGAATCTCATTCAGGTCACTCACGCGCCCCTGATAGGCTCACTATGCCGACGGAATGTATTGGATCAACGATATAGAGATATAGTAGTGTGGCTTTCGTGAAAAAAACTGGTGTTGATTTGAAAAAAAATTGATGAAATCCATTTTGAACTTTCCTTTTTTGGGTCTTATACAGGTAACTTCCGCGCCGCTTGGTAGGCTTACTATGCCTTGATCACGGAATATAATAGTCTAGTTCAGACTTTTTTCAGAAGGGTTGAAGGAAAAAAAATTACCAACTGTTAATGTGACCATTTTCGGCAAATTGGTGCTTGTTGCTTTTAAGAATCCTACTTCCATGATTATTTTCTTAATGAAACGAGATAATGATAGGTTTTTACGTTGATTAGGAGTTTCTTAGAAATATTTAAAGAAGACAACGTTAGTCCACGAGTGACATACGGATGACGTTTCTTTGTTTACGATTTGTAGACGGCACATCGGTAGTGTTTTCACCGTTTCATATTGAAAATAAAAAATATTTTTTAAAATTGAACTTAAATATCCCTCTACCACTTTTAAAAATTGAAATCAATATACATATTTCGTTTTCTTAAGTCAAATACTGTCAGAAATACTCATTTATTCTATGAAATTAGATATGAGTCAAGTAGCCTATTGTTTCAGGATATAAAAAAGATATAGGACTGACTTTCGGGAAAAAAGTGGTATTAATATGAAAAATAAATGAGGAAATCATTTTTTTCATGTTTCGTTCTCGTATATATAACTTTCGCAACTGTTTGTACATTTCCGATGTTGCAGCCAGGGATATGATGCATGCTATCATGGATTTTTGTTTTGATGGAATCCGTAGATCGTTTTTGTACATCAACTGCTCATATATTTCATATCAATGCATCCGCTTTAGTCAAGCCCACCTCCTAATTCGTCCTTATATTAATTCATAAATTTTACGTATCTGAGTCCCGGCTGCTTGTGAGAAGTGGGGTTCTGGCTTGTTACTGGACGGACGGTGTCGCTAGAATCACAGCGATCAAAGAATGGAAGTATACTGGGCGTTTCATAAAGACGTGTCAATATTTTTAGGGTAGAAAGTACATCCAAAACTAACAAAAAAAGTTCCTATAAATATGGGACCAATGATGCTCCCCTACCAAGATACAGGATGATAAAGTCTTATTTACGAAATTTAAAAAATATATATCTACAGAGCGGGTAAAGATACTGAATTAGGATTTCAGACGTCCAGTGGGCAGATCATCATCAGTAAACACACAGAATTTCCCGGCCGAAACTAAACGAGACATGTAGAAACTAGGATACCTGTACCTCCAATAGGAAATATTTTCTACGTCACTGGGCTTTTCTTAAAAAATAAGTGCGTTTTATAAAATATCATTCAATTTTCCATGAATTTTCTCTCCTAAGGGATTTTTGACAGATTACTGGTTTTGGACATATCTAGGTTCTGAGGTAAAATCCTAAAATATTCTTATGAAAAGGCGATTCTGAAAACACTGTTAAGCTTGATATTGAAAAAGAAATCACAAATTGTTAGGAACGTTAGAACGAAATATACAGAAGGCTTTCAACACTGTTCATACTATGCCAGGTATTTTCAAATTCAAAAAGTCTTTGTGGCTTGTGTTGAATCCAGAGGTGGCCACATTCAACACCTCCTTTAGGCTGTTATAGTATTTATTCAGTATTGTTTTTAATGTTATGTCCTCATAAATTTAGAAATAACCACGTAAGTTGTATAAAATGTATGGTAAGCTTCTAAGCTACTGACTGAGGATAAGACACTCATATTATTTAATCAATATTGTAATGAGGTGCCATTGCTTTCATCACATGCCATATAGTGTTTCCAACACCAAGCTTGACAGTGTTTTCAGGATAGGGGATGCTAAACCTTTTGATAAGAATATTTTAGGATTTTACTTCAAATATTCAATCCCAAAATCTCCAAAAGAGTGATCTGACAAAAAGTCCGTAAGTAAGAAAGTTTATGGAAAATTGAATGGTATTTTATAAAATCCACTTCTTTTCTCTGAAAAGGTCAGTGGCATAGAAAATATTTCCCTCTAGGTACCCCAGTTTTACTTCCCTGGTTTAGTTTGGGCGGGAAACTCTGGGTATTTATTGCTTATGATGAACGTCTAGAATCTGAACTCAGTATCTTTACCCAGTCTCCAGATATATTTTTTCAATTTTGTAAATAACACTTCATCACCCTGTATCTGGGTAGAGGATCTTGGACCCCCATACTTATAGGAAATTTTGTTATTTTTGGAATTGTTTTCTACCCTAGAAATATTAGCTTGTTTTTCTGAAACAATCTGTATAATGTTACAAGAAACTTACCCTTATTATTTTTGTATATATCTTCTGCCCTTGAGGAGTCTTTTTTGTTTGCCTCCTTGTTATAGCTGGATTTTATTTTTAACTCGAATTCTAATGTATCATGTTCTGTACCTTCTTTTTCTAAAAAAATGAGAGGCTGAATTAAGCAAATTAATCAAACTGCAATCAACAATTCTAATAGCAATCACTACTCTAAAGTCATATTACAACACAGTTGATCATTATCACTGGACCTTATGGTTTTGATAGTATCTTTTTATATCTAGTTGAAAATTGCCAAATACAGAAGGAATTTATAAAAGCAGCCAACCAGAGGCAGCCAAGCAGTCACATTGGCATAGATTACATTGTGGCATGCATTCTTTTGTCACCTCATTATATCACTTGTTATTTGTTAAAATAATGCCTTAGACTCAGGGTTAGCCTACATTTGGTGAGTGTGGATTGTACTGCATTTTAATATGCTTTCTTTTGGTTCTATTTATAAAATAAGAAGAAATAATTAAGACCACTCCTAATAAAAATGTAACCTTAGATCAGCTGTCACCTCATGATATCACTCGTTATTTGTTAAAATAATGCCTTGGACTCAGGTTTGGCCTATATTTGATGTGTTGCTTGTACTACATAATATGCTTTCTTTTGGTTCTAATTATAAAATAAGAATAAAAAACTAAAATCACTCATAATAAACATGCATAATCCAGATCAGCTGTGAAATATGTTATTTGAAGATATAGAATTACCCATATGAAATGCGTATTTTGATATGCAGAGGTGCCCACGAATAAACACAGACCATATTCTAATATAAAACCTTGTAAGCTGTAAACTTATGCATTTTTTCTACAAGTTTGAAAGTTGATGAACACATTTTAATTATACTGCAATTATCTTGTGAGATTTTCGAGAAAACTAAATTCTGAGTTGTGCTTGTAATTTCAAAATAATCTCTTACATAAAGTTACTAGTTTGATCATTGATAATGATAACACATTCTGTCTGGTTAAATACGATCATTACCGTAAAAAGCTCAGATTAACTCCTCTTTTCAAGATATAAAACTTACTTGGGTAATAAAATCTCACAAGGCGCTGTGATTCGAAAATCATATTCACTGTCGCAAAAATTGAAAATTCAGTGAACAAGAAATAATATCAAATTGCTCTGAAGCAGGTGATTGTATAGACCTGTTTGACTGACTTTTTTCTTATAGTGTCTAGTTTGTGCTGATGATCTAATAACGGCGTTGCGTGAGAAGTGTCAGAATCATCTGCAGCGTGGATAATCGCAAAGGAGAAGAGATGGGAGGTTTTGAAAATTCGTGAGAAATCTACTGATCATGGTTAAATGTTTATGACACACACCATACATGACTCAGAACAACTGGTGAGAGATATCCTTCAAATTTGTAGCAATATAACATACATATCAGTAACTATCATTTTTTAATTACTAAATTAAAAGAAAACCTAATATGCCTTGGTGTTCGCTTGAACAGGGACCGAAGTAACAAAGTGTTTTTAGATGATTTGATGTACGCAATCCGTCGAAAGGTTCACTCGTTTTATTTGGGAAGAGAAATACCTGTAACCAAAAAATTAAGTGCGCCTCAGATACTGACGATAGTCTTACAAAAATATTACATAATTAGAAAGAGAAAAGGAACGGCGCATTAATCGAAAGGGGCAACATAACATAGCGTAACAATATCTGAAACCAATATGTAGTATTTGCGAAATGGTAAGGCTCAAAATTTACTATTTACATGAAACATGGTTGAATGACAGTCACACAGTTTCTAAAATTTTGTAAGATCTATGTCAAATGTCATAGTCAGGCATATTGTAATGGCTTAAAAACAGGTGTTAATTAAACCTCATATTTTTTCAATTCAGGCTTTGTCGTTTGTCAAAAAACTATCATTAGCATAAGTACGCAGAAGTTTTTGAAGTCATTCTGTGATTGTTTTAGATAATGTGCATTAAACCCAATTAAGTTAATATAAGCTCAAATAAAAAATGAGGTAGTAGATAATGCTATTTTTATAATGGCAGATATTTGTATTCTTTTGGAAGATGCAATTAGCAGTATAACTGCTGACATGTGGTGGGATTGCATAAAGCAAAAGTCCTGGAAATAAGATCATTCCATCAGCAGATAATTGAACGTATAACAGTTAGCTGTGAGGTGATTACAGTAATAGTGATGGCACTGACAGTGATAGTGTCTGCACAAGTAAAGATGTATCATAACTACTGCTGAGTACTATTGGTTTATTTGACACTTTTTTATACATATTATTACCCATTTATGCCATTCATATTTATTTTACATGTGTTTCTAATATTTCTATGAGCAGAGCGTTGACACAGAGAAGTAGAAAACTATGACAATCAAGGAGGCCATAAAGGCGCCCTACAATTGTAGGGACGACTGACGATATGGGCCTTAGAGTTGCCATCTACAATCCCTATCATACATATGACATTATACTATTAACAAAAATCTACTTCAAAAAAAGTACCTGGCACTTTGAAATTGAACAAGCGAGGATCTGCTTTCAAAGGTATCAATCCCAGCCTATGAGCTAACACCTCATCTTGTATAATGGAGGTATTATTGTGCATATGAACCTTTTCAATTGCCATACTTGGCACATCACTGAGCATGAGTCTTCGAAATGTATTTGCTAATGCTGGATGGATTCCAATGAGATCAAACTCTATTTCATAGTTCTCAGCTTCTCTTCTGACTATGACAACTTTGAACAGTTTTTTGAATTTCTTCATATCGAAGGCATCTGTGAAGGATGAAGGTAAGTTCTGTAAAGGAGATATTGAATGAAAATCTATTACAAACACCTTTAAGACAATTATAAATACCTTCGTAATTTTGAATTCATTCAGGATAACACGTGGCTTTTCTCCATCCATGATGAATATTTTTATATTTACAAATACTGGAAGATTGTTATTAGAGAAGGAAATATAACAGAGATCTCACGTTGCTTCTGCTTGTTTCCCAAATTTCGGCGCTTTCAAATTCTTCTAAAATCTGGGAAAGCACAACAAATGTTTACATGCCGCCACAGTGACAGCTGACAACCAGTGATATAATTAGGGATGGCAACGATATATCGATTATTTTTATATATCGATATTTTTTAAAAATATATCGATATATTATAATCGATATATTTGTTTCAATATATCGGTATATATCGATATTTTCATTCAATATATCATTTTTTTAATGTTCTTTTATCTTATCAGTACTTCCATAATATGTCACTGATTCAAATCAAATAGGCTCGATTTGTTGTTTGAACGTACTTTATGCACTTCGAGCGATGGTCCGAACTCACCCCATTGTGTTACGCGGTACGCCAAATGCGGTTGTCATGTGTCATGTCTTTAGTGTCGAAGGTCAATGTCAACATTTTCAATAAGGATTTTTTCGCGAGTCCACGGTGTAGCACAGTGCACTACAGGGAACCGATACTCAAATTTTAGCGAAGAACGGGAATAGGGGATGACGGATGTGACGTCGTCCGAATGTAAAAAAATCACGTGGTACGGGTACCCGCCTAACGTTTGTGATGTACTAGCGGGTGACAGGTCTTATGTCAATTTCATTTAAAAAACATTCATCTCAATTGATAATCTGTCTTCGCAGTGCCGAAAATTAAGTTAAATTATTAAATCATAAATGGAGGAACACATCCACCTGATTTTAAATGACGAGCGAGAACATCATCGAAGATATATGAACCGCACTAGTCATATCAAATGATTGATTTTATTGATATATATATATATATATATATATATATATATATATATATATATATATATATATGTGTACATTGCACATAAAACGATCGGTCTTTTTATTTCAGATTCAAACAATTCTGCTAAATTTATCAAGGTGCTTAAAGCAAACATTTTGGGCAACTTGCGCCATCTAACCACTCCCGGTGTAACTTGAAACTGTCAAAACTTCGAGAGGAAGGGAAAATTCCATCTGCTCCCGCTCCGGTTCACTACGGGATCTCACGAAAAAATCTCTCCTACTGTTTTTTTCTTTGTTTCTTTTTCTAAACTCCAACATTCTAACACAAACTCTGAGGTCGATTGGGAATAATATTGTGGGATTGGATTGGACTTGGACTGATTTGTGCGTATTTCTTGTTCTGGGGGATGTTCTTGTTTGATAGTTTGAATCAACGTTATTTGAAAATGGCATTTAATAATGCTTGTTGCATTTATAAATGCATTTTAGCATTCAAAAATGCTTTTTGTTGAATATGAAAAGTAGGTAAATACTTATATTTTTAGCCTTTTCCGAGTTTTCAATGTCAAATAAAATTCAATGAACACATCGTCTATAGTATATAACATATTAACTTAAAAAAATTATCGATATATTCAAAAATATCGATATTTTCTAACCGATATATCGATACATTGTTTCGATATATCTAATGATTCGATATATCGATATAATATGTATAAAATTTGCCATCCCTAGATATAATTGACAGCGTTGTCACTGTTGTCAGGGTCAGATGTACGAATTTCAAGAATCAAATCCAAGCGAATAACCAAAATTTCTGTGTTATGTGCCGCGGTTACAATTATGGTTCAAGATGACACACGGGTTGATGACGTCAGTTACACGAATCGCTTGAACGCGTTGGTTTTAACCGCGGTTTTGTTCCAAGTTGTTTATTTTAGAAAAGCGCGTGTGTAATCTGTGATTATTTTTATTATCACTTAATAATCGGTGCTTTTTCGTCTACAACTGTATATGGAAAGTTTAAATAAGAAACCTTTCATAATATTCATGGGAGAAATGTTTTTTTCAGATTTTTTTTTTAATGATGAAACCATGGCTTTGTAGCTATGATTCTCTAAATTTTTCCGCATGTCAAAGAAAACATTTATTGATTCAGCAGAAATGATGAAAAAAGAAATTAGCAAAACCGTATACAGGTGGATATCATCTAGTGAGTTTATATGGCCATATTTTAATATTCTTGTGGTATATGGCTACACAGGATACTTTGTTAACCATAGGAATTACATTTAAAATGTCCCCAACAACCGTAATGAGTATAACTAATAAGATGCTCCACTTTATGGTAAAACTGAAGTCAGCCTGTATCATTTTTCTCAAAAATGAAGCTGAAGTACAATAATAATATCCAATTCCCGGCAAAATTCTAACTTGTCACATTTCAAATAATAACCAGAAATATAAAACTACTCTTGAGTTGGGTAAATACCACAATTTTGCGGTGATAACTATGACATATAACAGCTGATTCGTGACGTCACGGATCTTATAACCAAACTGATAACTACACTCGCTTGAACGAATTGGTAAATACCAACCCAAAATGGTAAATACTATTTCCATTTGGTTATCCGCTTGAATTTGATTAAGTACTGTACGATAGTACGCACAAAACAGTCATAAGACTGAAGACGTGGGAGCTGCACGTTCAACGATGGCGACACCGTTGACGTGTGACAGATGGTTAGGCCGCCTACTTGCCTGGAGATCAGAGCCGCTTTCCAGTGCCTCATTTGTGTTACTCGGAGCTACCCACCAACTGTCAATACCGTTTCAGTTTCCGGAGCTCTAGAGCACCTCTAGAGTGTCAAGTTGCATGCCCTCGGATTTGTTACCGATGGCGATGCTAGTATCTTGCCAGATGTTCCTCCAAGTCTGGATATTCGACCTATGTTCGAGCTCCATGGTTCCTGGATACCAATTCCGTCCCTTTGGAATGTGGCGCCAATGACGTTCGTGGCGGCCTTGGCATGTTGCAGATTAATCTGCCGCAGCAGGCTCAGTGATTGAGCCATTATGCTGCAGAGCTGCAACCTCCTGGTGGATCTCTGTCCCCACCAGGATCCCGTGGCGGTTTAGGTGGGCCATTGGAGCTTTTATGTGCCCCAGGACCTCCATTCCCCTTCTTGGGTTTCTTTTTGCCTTTTTTTTTTGGCAGCGTCTTACCGGAAATAGTCCTCCCATAGTAGAGTCGCTATCAGTTGCAGCAGGAGAGGTGGCTGTCCCTCCTTCTGTCACCGTCGACGCATCACCGGTGGCGGGGACTATTGGGGGATTAGCCCCTCGTGTCCCGAATGCTGTTCCCCGAGCCCTAGGCCTCAGACGAAATCGTACCTGGCCGAAGCCAAAGTACGGTCTGAAGTCCAGACGCCTCAGCTTCTTCAGCGACGCATCACCTATACCGAAGGTCCAAGTTTGTCCCTTGCCTGAATCCTCCTGATGTAGGACAACCCAATCACGAGTATCTAGGCTCCGGTTCATATTCCCCAGTATTCGCAGCACATCCTCCCTGGAGAGGCGCTCCCCTGGAACTTCGTCCGGAAGATATGTTTCGCATATATGGGGTTTAGGAAGATTGCCCCCTTGACGCCTTGACCTTGGCGCCTTCTCAAGGCTGGAGGGGCTTTGCCGCTCCTTCAAGCCAGTTCTGGCTTTCTTTGTCCACACAGGTGATTTGTAGCCATCCAGATTTCTGGGTACAGTCCTAGAACCTCACCTGTGTGTTCCTGTCTCTAATGCGAGATACAGCTACCAATATCGCCTTTTGAAGAGCAAAAAATTGCTCCTTGGTGACGACTACATACGTCGGAGCCTGCCCATCACTTCTCGGATTTTTCGGTGCCTGTTCTGGTGTTCTGGGGGGACCACTTCACGCCCTCCCGGTTACTGCCTGCTGCAGCTAGCTGCGTTGGACGATGGAGGTTTTCCCCTTGTCCTTCGCTGATTCCCCCAAGATTTTCGCAAGCGCCGCCTCGTAAGGCATGCCGCTTTTGAGAAGCGCTGTCAGTCGTCTTCTCTTTGGACTCGGGAATCTTTTCCAAGGCTTTTTAGCCTTAGAGTCTGCCACCTCTGGGTTCGGAGAGGGGTTCAGTAGTTCCCTCTCCTGTTCAGAGGTGACAGACAGTCATTTCCCGACTCCTATTAGGAGGGGTCAGCTCACCCTGAGGAGCCTCTGTCAGAGTATCATCCACTGACGCCCCAGAGAGCGATTCTTCTTCCTGCTGTGATAGAGATGACGGCCAAAAATCGCCAATCTCCATTGGTTGTTCCTCCAACGGAGGATCGAGGTTTTGACACTCCTCGTTAGAGTTGAGGCTTTCCCGTTGATCCATGTTGTTCCCACGAGTATTGGGGATATGAGCGGTCACCGTACGCAAAGTCCCATACGTACAGAAGGCTAAACATACTCCGGAAGTCGTCCCGGTGTTCCGGAGGGTCCGCTCACGCTGCCGATTGCCCCCGGCACCATTCATCCCTCAGCACGGAGCCTCACACCTTGGATTCGGGGTTTCACCAGAGCCCGATTAGCCGTCCCTGTGCTCCCCAAGGGAGATTTACTTCCCTGAGGGGCAGAGGATCCGTTGCCAACTCCACACGGTCGTGTACAGGAAATACCTCCCGGCACACGAACTCTAGGACGTTCGGGTTGGACTTTATGGAGTCCAGTATATTTATGAGAATATAAAGACCAGTGGAACAATAGTGGTGCTGAAAACAACTGCTAAGTTACTCCGAGTAGTTCAACTGCGTCACTGAAAAGCAACTCTATAATGCACCTAAAAGGACCCCACATTTTCTTCCCATGACAGTTCGAGATTTGGTTAACTTTTAAGAAAATTTGGTATGTATATTTCATTTATTGATTTTGTTGAAATGTGAATTTTTGCAGTAGTAAGGGGGCTAATTTAGCCATCACTATTTTGTGATTCTTTATTATAATTCAAGGGTCAAAATATAGTATTTTCGACTGTAAAAATTTTGGAATGTCGGTGTTGAACTTGAAAATTTCAAAATAGTTAAAGTTAATTCGCCCCCTACTACGACAAAAATAATAATAATGCGATATTTAAAAAAATAATTTTTTATGTATCTCGATCAAGTTGAGATTATATGAATTTTCATTGGGATGTTATTTTTTTTTTATACTCCAACTACCACGAAGGCCTAAGGCCTAAACACCCATTGGGTACCGTGGGGCTATAGGGCGATACAGGGGAAAGGGAGAACGCCACACGGATTCTGGCGAGGGAACACGTGTGCATGCAACATGCACACATTCTGGCTCCGCCTACGAGATCCGCCGGGTGGTACCTCCACGTTCGACAGTCAGAGACCGTCTACCACCTACCTATGAATATAATTTTCGTATTCATTCTCAAATAAATCCACCAATCCCAAATAACTGATACACTTTAAGGCTAGTTATTTATGGTCTTGTAAATACCGTTATACTCAACTGGCACAATAATGTTTACTAGTCAGATAAATTAAGCTATGTAATATCGAAAAACTTACCCTTTTCTCTTTTCCACAAAAAAGTACTCAAATAATGTACCACTTGGAGGTACACAGGAAACACGCTATCATAGTGAAACTCACAGGCAAAATGGATGACGGCAAACGGATCGGTTTTCTAAATAATGGACATTTAATATTTGTTTCATTGATTGAAAAGTAAATATTTAATGAATATTTTAAATGAAATATTGTATTTAAAATATTTAAAAGATATTGAATAAATATTTGATAAAAATATATTCTAAATATTTATTAAATATTTGTTTAAGAAAACAAATATTTAAGTAAGATTAAAATAATATATATAATAATATAAAAATAAATATTTAATGAATATTTTGTGCTATCGGGATAGGTCGTTAGCTATTCCGACAAGGTGTCTAGTTGTTATAGCTTTTTTAGTAGCCCGGCAATTTTTGCTAATAAGATCAGCAAGTCTGGTCTAAATTGTTTATTGGTCGTATTAGTGACTACTTGAAGGGCAGATTGTACAAAAGTTGTCCAATGAACAATCGGCGAATCCACGTCGGCAACGGATGCTATGACTGGACTTGCAGGAAAATTGGACATACTATGTGTTTTCAATTTTTCTCAGTCTATTCTCTAAATTCGAGCGTCCTCATTTTCATCATTTTTCGTCTCTATTTCAAGAATCACTATGAAGATCATGCGATATTTGTATTTCAATATTATCAGTGCAGCTCCTGGATATAGAAAAATCCATGATATCTAGCAGAAATTTATTATTATAAGGATACTGAGTAGGTTCCATCGTACTATGTATGAGGAAGTCTCGAATGAGGGAGAAGTTGTAGAGTTTTACCAAACCAGCATTACTTACACGAGAATTCCAAGTTTGGTAAACATTAAGATTGCAGTTATAACCTCCAACAGCTAAGATTGAACCTGTAGATATAGTCTAAAAGAGAATCAATGTCACATTTTGGACTATGTAGACCACTTAACATAAATAGAAAAAACATTTAATTTAGAACCAATATAAAATAAATAGCTATCACAAAAGACACTTCAATAGATTCTATTTCTGGATTTGAACTTCAGTAGTAGACGATATTCCTTTTCACCAATACAGCAGTACCCCCACCTCTACCAGTTAGTCGATCACAGGAATCACATCAAAATTTGGAATTTAAAAGTTATTGCTTGGATTTAAATGAGTCTCTTGTAAGAGTGCACTGTTTATATTTAGCTCAACCAATGTGATTGCTAATTCGTGTTTTTTTGAGGATTTATTTTATGCCATCTGCTTTACAACGAAGAATGTTGAGGAATTCGGGCCGTCTCTTATGACTATTATTCACTTATAGTATGAAGCGAATGTGAGGATGAGGGGGTAAGTTTTTGTAAAGTTTGTGTTGCTTCTATTGTAGGCTTGAACATTTGTTGGACAATCAAGACCGTTTTCCAGCAATACCTTGACGTCAAATAATACAAAACAAGCGATGTTGGAGATCGATTATCGATCACAGGACGGAATGGATGCGTATTTTGACAGCAGTGCATAATATTTTTAGTTTATTTGATCTTTATCATGTTGTTTTAGAAAATAGTCTTGTAGTTACTGTTTTTATTTGTTATTTTTCATTATTTTTTCATGTTATTTCGGAAAATATGGTTTTAGCTTACTTGTTAGCCTATTTTTGTTAATTTTACTCAATTATATATTAGTTTATAAATTCGTCGTTTTTCCCTATTATTTCTACAAGATACTGTTTTAGATTATTTAATCACTCATTTTTCGCAGTATTGCTGGAAAACGGTATTTTGGAAATACAAATTTCCATATAAAAGGTGCTCCAAGCAAGATTTTTTTTGTACACTTTACACCCATTATACCTACAATAACCACCCAAATACGAGGTTACGTGTAGTGTGCCGTCAACTAAATAATTATTTTAAGTTATGTGCAAATTGTGGACACGAAATATGAATGATTAAAAATCGTATAACAATTCGTAAAAATACAAATTTGGATAAAACGTAAAACACCATATGTATCGGAATCACCTTTAGCTATTTGCCAAACATTATTATGCCTTACATCTTATGTTTATCTATTGGTGTTCCTCAATATTCTATTCAACGCTTCTTTCTTTATATCATTCTAGCAACATAGCAAATGTAGCAAAAACATCCGATGAGCTGGCAACACCGCAATCCAGGAGACAAGAATAACAATGGCAGCTGTCAAAACTTATGTCTAGCTTGGGGTACCGACGAAGCCATTTCGAACATCAACGAGTCAATTTTCATTTTTTGTACAACGATTTCGGGAAACATTTCACTACAGATAGTCTTAAAGAGCCTAGAAGAGAATAATTCAACAGTTATCTTGCGTGTCCATGTTATCTTTACTTCTGTGGAAATATACTATAATATAAGCCCAATAAGAATGTCCACAGCGAAATTTTTCCCAAAATCTTTTCACCACTTAAAAAATGCAAATAAAAACTACTTTTAAAAACTTAAGTTTTCAGGGGTGTGCAACATAGTTCTGTAGTTTTTCGTGGAATTAAAAAAAATTTTTTTTGGTGCTAACTTCACGCCTCACCCCTTTTACCTAAAACGTGACTTGTGAGCTGTGGATTCGCAAGGTAGTGAACAGTTCTACAGTTCTCAATAATTTCTAAAATTAAAAAAAACAGCATAAATCATCCACGAGACAATTCACTATCAATGTCACATTTATCGCCAGAAAATTCGACAAGTATACGGCACTCCAGCACAGTAAGCCTCACAGATTCATGCAACCAATTATGTTCAAACACTGAAATTGGGGATTGTATGAGAAAAGACTGCCCTTGGTTGGGGAAAATGTAAAGAAATACATCTGAAATACCAAAAATTCCCATAAAGTGTTAAGTCGCAGAGCTCTGGCCCAGCACCCCCTTCAGATATCTCTAGCATAATAGGTACTCAGTACAAACATAACTCGGGGGTGCCATTAGAAAAAATGGGAAAAACGACGAGAAATGCATTGGAAACTATAAAAATTCACATAAAAATGAGAAAAACGCAGATTTTTAGCACAGAATCCCCCTCATATATCTTTAGCATTATATTCCGCACAATTTCGAAAGCAGAACTCAGGGGTGCCATAAGAGAAAATTACAATTGGTTGGGAAAAATGGCGAGAACTTCTTTCAAAACTACTAAACTAAGAATTCCCACAAAAGTGAAAACATGCATTCTTGCACTGCACCACCTTTAGACATCGCTAGCATAATAATCCGTACAATTTCAAAAGCGGTGCCATTAGAAGAAACTACGCTTGGTTGGGAAAATGTCGACAAATAACAATAATAATAAAAAGTGAAAAAGGAATAGTACTAGCGCAGCACCCTCCTTAGATATCTCCAGCATAATACTAGGTACAATTTCAAAAGCAGTTGCCATTAGAAAAAACCACCGTTGGTTGGGAAAAAGGACGAGAAGTACCTTGGAAGCATCTTTGCGCGATGATATGATACGATAAAAACTAGTCACGTCATAAGGCGGCTACAGACGCACGCTGATGACTGAATTTATGAACGTGTGTGCATTAACGTGCATGCATAGACACGAATTTGCTTTATGTACAGACGCTCAAACTTTTCTACCGACTTTTAATCGGTGTGCGCGACGGAAGAAGTTGTGATGTCGTCCGATGAGGAGCTTGCTGTTATGGCAGTGGCGTGCGATTACGTTTTAAAAAGTGCCAAAAAGTCGAAAAAGCGTCGTCGCCTGTAGTCTAAGGAATGGCTTTTGAAAAGACAGTCATTTTCACATATTAACTTATTGGAAGAATTGAAAGGAGAACCCGTTGATTGGCGTAATTATCTACGAATGGATGAGGATACCTATGTAGAATTGTTAGAAATGGTTACTTCACTAATAAAACGTCAGGACACAGTTATGAGATCTGCAATAAGTGCACACGAACGGTTAACCGCAACCCTTCGATATTTGACGTCTGGACGAAATTATTTAAGATTATCTACGATAATATCTCCGCACGCGTTGAGCGAAATAATTCCTGAAACATGCTCATCTATATACCAAGTACTACAGCAAAAATACATGAAGGTAAGAAAAACATATTTTCATTAAATAAGGAAAAACATAACAGCATATCCATAACAGTATAATATTAATTATTGTAAAGGATTATAAGAGCCGTAATACACAGCAGCTGTATTACTATTATTAATTGTTGTTGGTTGGTTGGTTGGTGTAGACTGAGTCTAGATGGGATCACAGTTTGGTAGCGGAGGGAATAATGTATTACTATTATTAATTGGTGTTGGTTCGGACGTTATTCTTGAATGTTCGTTAACTTTTCCTAACTCCGCTTGAAATAGGATATCGTTTATTAATTTTTCTGAATATAGTCGTATTTCTCTTAGCAATCGCCGTAATTTGATTGCTATCGATTTTCCCATAAGGTCGAACTCGTCTGCCGGTTTATTGAGTCCTGTACCGACAATGTCTAATATCCGATCTGCTTTATTAATATTTTGGTGGTGTGCTTTGAATTTTTTTGACCTTTTGGGTAAATGTGGTGATGATCGACTGGATAGTGCTGATGAAGGTCTTGATGTGCTCGCCATATTATGTTCTGAATGTGCCTCCATTTCAGTTTGTTCAGATACAGCATCACCTACCTGAAAATAATACACACATATTATATTATATATTTATATATTTTATAATTGATATTTTTTACAGTTCCATACAACAGAAACAGAATGGAAAAGTATCTCTGAAGGCTTTGAAGAAGTATGCAACTTTCTTAATTGTGTAGGAGCCGTAGATGGCAAGCATGTTCAAATCAAACCACCACCGGGCAGCGGAGCATTTTATTATAATTACAAGGGTTATAACAGTTTAGTTCTCATGGCTATATGTAATGCAAATTATGAATTTATAATGTGTGATTTTAGTACCAACGGTCGAATATCGGATGGAGGAGTCATAACATGCACTCATTTCTACACAAATTTAAAAAATAAAACATTAAAGCTGCCACCTGCAACTTGCCCACGAAACAGTGACAGAGAGCTATCATTTGCATTCGTTGGAGATGAAGCTTTTACATTACATAGTGATTTCTTAAAACCTTACAGTCAAAACGACCTGAATCATGAAAAATTTATGATTACCGCTTATCAAGGGCACGATGCAAAATTGAAAATTCATTTTGGATACTATCAGCAAGATTTCAGGTACTTCAGTCAGCTATCAGTCTACAGATAGAATCGATAGACAAGGTCGTAATTTCTTGCTGCGTCCTGCATAATTTCTTAAGACGCAAATGCAGTCAGTTTTACACACCAATGGATTCTTTAGATCAAGAAAATCGTACAGACGGTACGGTGCAAATGGGGCTTAAAGCAAATCCTTCGCAACTAGCAAACCTGCAACGTAGCCATAGCAGAAACTTCAGTAGCGAAGCAAGTCATGTGCGTCGAGAGCTTACTCAATTTTTTAACGAAGGGGCTCTGAGTTGACAAGAACGAATGATACAATAATAATTAATGGTGCAGTCATAACAATCAAAATATTTGCTTTTTTCGTCAGTTTAAGAAGTAGTTTTCTGAATTATTATCACTTAAAAATTAAAGCTGGCTGCTACAATTTAGAAGATTGTACACCACCTACTTTCTACATATCAGTAAAATAAATATTAAACATATACTTTATTTAGTTATTGACCTACCTCTCTTCCATTCTCCTCTTCATCTATTTGCGTCTCTAACACGTCGTCATGCACTTCTTCTTCACTTTCAATATTTGAAACAGACTATCTTGGTATCTCTTGATCTTTAAGAAATAACAGTAATTCGTAATACCACAGGGATGGCACATACACATCTTCCAACGCAGATCCACTTCTTTTCGAATTTTGTACTTTTTTATGTTCTCTTCGGAAACCACCACGTAGAGTATTAATTTTTGTTATGACTGATTGTTTTGTAGCATTAGGTTGAATACTTTGTAACTTTTCCTGTAACAATGTATATGCTGCATTTTTTTTATTTTTATCTAGATATTCTTTTGCTTTCGTTTCTCAGAGACAATGATGTACCCTGTACAATTCAATGAATTCTCTGCTGAAGTCTCGAGTCACTGTTCTGACGTCAGACATCTCTACAATCAATAAAAATTACTTACTCGAAGATAATTCGTACTTCGTTGATCAACGGCACTGACCTCTGATTGTCTGCGGAATTCGCACGTTCTTTTGCCTCTACACGTTGAGACTTGCATGCGCGTCTCTGCACGCGCGTTTAAAATTTCTGTCGAGAACTGAAATTTGCACGCCGACGACTGACGATGCTTTCGCATGACGAAGATGATCAAGATATGTTAGACCTTCTGAATTTAGCTAACATACAAAGGCAAAGGAGATACTGGATACATCCTTTGTGGCTAGATAAAGGGAAAACTAGTGGTTCGTTCAACGTTATGCGGGAGCTCAATATGTACCCTGAACGTTTTCAAAGTTTCTATCGAATGTCCAGTCAATGTTTTTATAAAATACTAGCATTAGTAAGGGTAGATCTTGAAAAGAAATCAACAAATTGGAGAGAACCGGTCAGTCCAGAGGAGAGGCTGTTAATAACGTTGAGGTAAGTTGAAAAAATATATTAAAGTAAATTGAATTAACTCAAATAAAAGAAAACATAAAATCAGTAATATCAGGTATTAATTATTGTATCGTATAAACTCAGTCATATTGAAAGGGTCCGTGTTGGTTTGCGGGATTGAACCTGGATTTCTATTCACCGAATCTTCAACCCAAGATTGAGAACCATCCATTGGTGGAGTAGTAGCTTCCAGATTGGTTGAGGATAGTATTTGCTCGGCCAGATTTAAAATGCCCATTTTGAAACACTGTTTCTGGTTAGAGTTCATAGACTTCATGTCAGGCAGAACACTGTGTAAAAATGCCAGGTCAGGATCAGGAGGATCAACTGTGGTATTTGTTTTCGTGACGTTCTGGATCTCCAGTACTTTCTGTTTTTTCTCAAAATGGTTGACATCATTGATAGAGGTTGCCAACTTCTTTTTTTTTCTTAAATCATGTCCTTTCCGTGATGGCGTTTTAGGTGCTTTCATTGCTAACAGGTGATCATCGACAGAAGTACTGGGAGATGGCATAGGTGAATGAGAGGAATGAGTGGATAGAATGTAATCGGGTGATTGAACCTCAATGTTGCGTTTTCTTCATATTCATTAGCATCTGTTTCCTCATCAGCTGATAATGCAGACTCTTCAGCTATGTTGCCTTTGCTTATGCGAGACTTCAAGGAAGGATCCAAGAAGAGGAGATGTGGGGCCAGATAATATTCTTTGGCTCATTTAGCTCCTTGTGCTTGTGCTCCTTCTGTCTGTATTGCTGCATAAACGAACATGTGATGACACATGCTCCTGCCACGCACAGACCCACGCCACCACCACGCGTCCGTTCTGTGTGGATTGCGCCTTACGTACACATACATATTTTCAAAATACGTAAGATTTTATTAGTTATTAACATTCCATATCAAACCAAAAGTTTGTGGTCGGGCTACAGATCAAACAACGTGATGGATTTTGACATGCCTTTAGATTTGACTTGACAGTGCGAGTAACACTGGGTGTAACATTTTGGTATACTCTGACACTTAGGCAGTCAAGACAAATCCACTATTTTGCTTTTATAATATTTTAATATAGTCAGTGTCACTCGCACCAAAAAGTCCAAAAACATCTCATGCTGAAATCCATCAAGCCGTTCAAGCTGTAACCCGTCTTTTATCAAAATCCACCATTTTATTCTCATAACATTTTAATATAGCTTCTGCTTCGACATCTCATATACCAAAATCCATCAAACTATTTAGCCTGTAGCCCATAAAATAGATATTTTTGATACATAGATACCATAGACCGACATGACAGAGCCAGCGGAGCAGACGAGCCAAGCTGTTGAATTCCAGCTCCTATCCTGTTAAGCTGAAGACAGGATTTGTCGTTGGTACTTGTTAGTCAGTGACTTTTATTATTATCCAACAAGCCAAGTCCGGAGCCAAACAGAAGAACAAGTGTAGCAGCCGCCTTCAGGAGATTGAGGCAGTCTGTTAAGGCGTTACCCCGGGTCAAGCTGCAAATGTGGAAGAACTGATTGTTTGACACCGGGGCAACTTCGAAGGTGAAAGCTCCAAACCAGGTCGGACGAAAATTAACACAGGTGATGCAAAATCAATCTGTCAAGCTGCCAGGAGACTCCCAAGGTGATGCGAGAGAAACCTGTTAAGATAGCGGGAGCAAATGGGGCGAGGAGTGATAAAGCCATCCAGTAGCCCGCAGACGTCACCTGTGGTGCTGGTGAAAAACAAGGATGGAAGTAATTATGTTCCGTCCTCGTCGAAGTAAATATTCCCTCACGATTTCAAAGCGCGCACGCAGCGAAAGAAAGAGGCACCGCGCCCGTTCCCCCTGCGTTGATTATCGTTGCCTAAACTACGTCACCATGACGTTGCCACGCATCGATGACACGTTGGATGCGCTATCTGGGTCTGTTCTCTCGATTCTGGATTTGAAAACTGGATATTGGCAAGTGAAGATGGACCCTAGAGAAGACTGCCTTTACAATCTGACATAGACTCTGGCTGCCTTACGGGTTGTTCAACGCACCTGGAAAACATACCTTATCTATCTAGACGACATAATCGTGGTAGAATTCTGAACGTGTTCCAGAGGCTTCGAGGTGCAAACTTGAAATTGAATCCTAAAAGGTGCAATCTGTTCCGGGATAAGTTAAATTGCTTGGGCCACGTAGTTAGCTGTGATGGAGTTGCAGTTGATCCTGCCTTCGCCATTAGCTCCCCTCACTAAGGAAGTTCAGAAGTTCACGTAGGATGAAAACTGTCAGCCCACCTTTGAAAAACTGAAACACCATTTCAACACCCTGATCTTAGGATATCCAAATCGGGAAGGGAAGTTCATCCTAGATGCATCAGTAAACTAGAGCTGTTGGCTGTGGTTAAGGCAGTGGAGCACTATTACAAATATCTCTTCGGGCATAAACTGCTGATCCGGACGGACCATGCGGCACTGAAGTGGTTGGAGTATAAAAAAAAACTGAAGTGGATCCTGCATTTCAAGAATCCCGAAGGACAGGCGATGAGTTGGATTGAGCGGCTCGCTGAATATGATCTCGAGATCAAGCATTATGCTGAATTGAGCCATCGTAACGCCGACGCTTTGCGCAGGAGGCCGTGCCTAGCGGAGTACTTGCCCTGCAGCAGGTTCGAGGAGATGATAGCGACCATCTGCAAGACAACAGTAGTGGATGATCCCTGGTTACCTGACAGTATTAAACGGCTAAAGGAGTGAAAGTGAGAGAACCGTCGGTCAACCTAGGAGGACGTCGCCCCACTGTTACCAACGGCCAGGTCATACTGGGCCCGCTGGAACTCTTTGGTGCTAGAAGATGGTGTCCTGAAACGGGCAGTGGAGAATGGAAATGGGTCTCATCGGAGGCTGCAAGTGGTGGTGCCAAGAAACCGGGTTTCCGAGGTTCTCCGTCAGCTCCACGATGAAACATCGGGTCGACACATGGGCGGCACGAAGACCAAGATGAAGCAGTAGATATAACGTGGGCAAGCCATTCGAGAAGACAGTCATCTGGGGGCCGTTACTAGAATCGAAGAATGGGAACAAATACATCCTGGATGCCATGGACTACTTCACTAAGACGGTCGATGCGTGCACTATCCCCAATCAAGAAGCCACCATCGTTGCAACCAACCTCATCAGTCAGTTTGGAGCCTCACTAGAGCTGAACTCCGGCCAGACCATGAATTTCGAGAGCGAACTGTAACAGTCTGTCTTTAAATTATTAGAGAAAACTGTCCAGATATCGAGAGTAAAAGTTACAAAGTTCTCAATAGCTAGTGAAATACAGCGGCTATCTAATATTTGGCCCATCATAAACGAAAACTTCTGAGAAGATAAATATATCTATCTAGAGCTCTCCTTTGTCATAATAGAACCCTTAGAAATATCCGATTCGGATGTTGTAAAATCCAAACAAGACCATATGGCAAACAGTGCTCATTTCGTTTTTAGAAACTGAAAGATAAGCAAACATTTGGTGGTTTAAATCTAGCATCTTCCTACCACCAAATGTGCCTCCTGTGCAGACAAAAGCGGAACAGTGGCATAACACGGTGGGTCAAATGGTGAAAGTATGGAAGTAAAATTCATTTAATTGTTACAAATGAATTGAGGTTTTAACCTCCGGAATGATGTGCAGGCAAGTTTTTCTGAACAGTTTTATTGACCCAAGTAACAGATTTGCAACCAAAAATAGTAAGCTCAATCAAATCCGGTATTCACAGATAATTTAAAAGCGCAGGAAGAAGCCTAAGAGCCGTTTCAGATGTAGTCGACGCTCAGCGCTGACGGTCAGTGTTGATCGTCAGCACCTATGCTATCGCGTTTTCACATGCTGCGTATGATCAGTTGTTCAATATGTATGTGCGAAACAACATCGTGCGCGCCGTTGCCGTATATATTATTTTACGTAGAAGACGACAACAAAAACCGATGAAAAAGAGGTTATGGGTACACCCCCTTGTACTAGAGCGAAACTTAGCAGGTGCATTCGTAACATTATACGTCAGCCTCAGAGCAGATGAAAGAAAATTTTATAAATATTTTCGAATGTCAATAAAATCCTTTGACGAACTGCATTCCAAATAAGAAAGTAACCTGAAATTTACAAACAAAATACGAGTTTCTATCTTGTTGGTGGAGCGAATGTGTGTAGCATTAAGGTAAGGAACAAACTTGTAGGTAGTGCACAAATTTTAATATTTATTTCAAGAAACTGAATTAGGTACTCTATCAACAAGAAATAGAAAGAATAAAAGTGTTCATAGCTATATATAATATTATTGATCATTATTTAAGCAGATATTAGTAAGTTCAGTTGCGATGGACGTGGTTAATAAAATTCACTAAATAATCCGCTACATATATTCACCGACAACAAACAGAGTTTTACAAGACGTTGGCCGCAGCGGCGCAAGAGCGTCTCCTCTTCTTGAGTGTCTAGGGCGAACTGCCTCCGCAGCTCCTACAATGTTGCCGTTGTGAGCAAACTATCCACGAAACTGTTCACTGCACGCGCGGGAAGTTCACATGGTCGGAACACTCTGAACCATCACATAACCCCCCTATTAAAATCTAGTGATATATATCAATAGGTTTTAATA